AACAAGACCCTTGAAATAAATACCGTATTTTTTGGCATATAAGACGCACCCTTATTTTGAAGACAAAGTTTTGAGGGAAAAAAGCTACAGTCGCACTTGAAAGATTTTTATTGAACAAAAATTCAATTTGATACTTTAGAAATGAGTATATATTGTTCTAAACACAAAAGAGCTCAAAACATCAAAATAAGAAAATACCGTAAATCAAAAAAAAGGTTTACTGTTATTTAGTTTGGTTCAAAACCTACAAAATCTTCATTGCTTTCACTGTAATTTATTTTTTTATTATTTAGGGAGCATTATAAATAGTTATGTTTTTAAAAGAAAAAAAACTACTATTGTTATAAATAACACATTCAATTGAACTAAACTATGCATGCCTATTTAAATATATGTACACACGGCTTGTGTATATCGTATATATACATATATATTATTCATACCTTCGGTGTATAGGACGCAAGCAGATTTTGACATCAAATTTTGGGGTACAAAAGTGCGTCTAATATACCGAAAAATACGGTAATTGCTTTTACGTTCAGTTTTCGGACTATCGGTCTTGAGCTCCCTGCTTACACACAATGTGGTCATAGTAGTATACATATATATTTATTACACTGTACAATTATGTAAGATGTAAACTAAAACTAAACAAGCTTAAGGCAAGAGACTGGAATGGTCTGGTGGTTAGGGTTATATCCTGTTATATCCTTTTAGCCGTGGTGGCGTTATAATGTTACAGTCAGTCCCACTATTCGTTGGTAAAATAGTAGCCCAAGAGTTGGTGGTGGGTGGTGTTGACTATTGCCTTCCCTCTAGCCTATTGCTGCTAAATTAGGGACGCGTAGCGCGGATAGCCTTCGTGTGGCTTTGCGCGAAATTCATAACAAACAAACAAAGCTTAAGGCAAGTTTCGTGAAAACGTGTCACACGCTGTTCAGGTTTAACTGTACTGCGTCAGATAAACGTGTCACACGCTGCTTAGGTTTAACTGTACTGTGCCAGATCAAGGTGGCAGTCACACTAATTATACAAAAGTATAAAAGAAAAGGCAGATCGTAGCCTTTAATCTTCTTATATAAAAATTTAACCTTTGCAGAAGTACCCGGGGGGGGGGGGGGAGGTCTACGGGCTTACAACGCTTAAATTCTGGGTTCGATTCCCCGCGGTGTAGAGAGCAGATAACCCAATTTGGCTTTGTTCTAAAATAAACAAACATATACAGAAGTTCGACACATACGCTGATGGGGTTGAAAAATCAACTCGGTTCAACTAGACAGAACAAGGTAAAAATGTCTAAGTCCGGGTGGTTTTAGACCCATCATTTCTAAACCCTTGGAATGTTTCATAAGTGGAATAGATAATCGCTAAAGATATTCATTAAATGGGATGTTCGACTCCCACATACACATTCTGTAGAACGTACACTCAGATATCTCTAGGAAAACGTACGAACTAGTTCGACTACAGAATAATATATTCTTTGAAAATAATAAAGTAGCGCCAAGTTTTTGATGTTGTAACAAACCACTCGTTATTTTATTACAATTCAGAACAATTATGAAATGTGTTTTTTTTAACGCTGTCTAATTAGCTTGTATTCTTCCAGCATCCTCATCATTCTTGGCACAGCAGTAGGAACCATTGTTTAGTAAGTAAACACTTCGTGAATTATTTTGTCACAGAGAATTTATAAAGTTCTATGAAATATCTTAGAGACTCGTGTAATACAAGTTTGTAATGTCTACGATAGGTTTTAATTCCTATATTTTCTTCTTTTAAAAACGATTAATAAAATCGATTTTTTTTTAAAGTTTATTGAATAGGGAATGAATTTAGATACTAATTATATATTATTTTTCATTTTAGAACATATAATTTTATTCAGTTTTCATTCCCAATTTGCCCCCTGAAGAAGAAAGGTCCACTTCTCGAAAGCGCTCGGGTTATAGGTATTTTATTCATTTCTATCAAGACTTCTTGAACCTACATCATGAATAATTTTATTCAGCGTAGCATTCTTTATATATTTCAATAGTTGTACAATCGTCTGGCAGGCCCTCTATCTAGTACTTTGGAGAATATTATAGTTCTTTGTGTTTTACTGGACTTTTATTTTGATCGTGTTTTTTTTCAGTGTAACCGAATCGACCAGTTCTATACCACAGTTCACCTCTCGAGCTTTTTTCCTGTTCCTTCTACCACCGTGAGTTTATTTGTCATATCAGAATACGTTTTAACACACAATAAAGAAAGTACAGCGTTCTTGCCTGGAAAGAACTTTCTATACACATTTACACACTTTTTTCGTCAGTTCCTTGCTGTGTATTTTATCACATAAATTAAACTGAAAATACCTGTATTTTCGTTAATGATTAATGTGTCCTTTACGTACAATAGATATACAGAGACATCTCAACAGT